AAATGGAGGAGTGGTTAGTACTGAGAAATATTGATGTGTAGTGTGAGTGGATTGGTGTAGGTGTGTGATGGAGTCTTCGGGAATAGAGGTGAGGTAGGGGGCTAGGGAAAGACTACCGTTTCGCCCCCGAGATTCTGGTGGGTTTGGCATGAGCCTGATGATTTTGTATATATCATAGTAATTCGATAGATCACGACACTTTTTACGTCCAACGAATATGAAGTTCCCCGGCACTTATGAGAGACATGCCATTTTTGTCTTTTAATCTACCGGTCAATAAAGTATTGACTCAATTTGTAGTTACACCACCCCCTGGTAGAGACCCAGGCATGTGGAATTGATCGCTCAAATTACCGCTGCTCTCTTCTCGGGTCATGCTGCGACTGCGGAGGTCGCCGGTTTCAACATTGAAGCTGCTCGTTCGCGAAGCAAGGTCAAATGGCGGCCGTGTGCCCAATAGTCCTCCAAACCTGAGCGTCTCTGGTTCGCGAGACGAGTCCTCGTGACGGGCAGACCCGCTGATATCTGCCGCTACGCTACTTCGCGGCGCATTAGAGCCCGTTTCCGAATCATCGCCGGTCCGTACGCCTGTTCTGCCCATGCGAGGCCAGAGGTCCGGCAGCCCCACGACCTGCACCCGAGGTTCGACAACGCGCTCCTCAAACCATGCATGAACACGCGCTTCGACTAGCTGAGCAACTTTAGGTACGTCCTGAAGCCTGCTACGAGAGCCGATCAACGACCGCACGGAGAGGTCAAGTCGATAGTCTGGAAGAAAGGAGAACGCAACGTTGCTCTTTGGACTGGTTTTCGGCGGATTTCCATCGTTGGGTTCCTCAGAGGAACCACCTGAGCGAGATTGATTTCCGCCCGTCTGATCTTCGCGCTTCGAGCGTCCATTCGTTGTTGTCTCGGCGGTAGGGGGAGATGGGGAATGGGATGGAGTGTCGAGTGGAGGTGTGGAAGCGGGGACGAGGGATATGCAAAGGGTCCCGGAAAAGCGGACAACAGAAATAGAGAGAGCCACGGGAAGGATGGCAGAGCTTGGCTTCGGGTAATTGAGAAGTAGCTGCGTCTCGATGGCAATGGAGAGGTTGTCATCGCTCAGGTCGACGTCCATCAGGGCCTGAAGCCGTCCACCACCAGAATTTGGGTCATCAACAGCAATGATCCGACAGTTGCTGAAGATCGGAAACTCCTCCCCCAGAGATATGTCCGTTACAGTAATTTTATCTATAAAAGATGGCTTCTTTTCGGGGTTATTCAGGGCCGCGGTTAGCGAGTTGAGGATTGATGACGTCGGCGAGTCCTTTAACAGATATGCTGTTTGTCTGTACTGAGCAATGGTCTGAGCTATGAGGACGTTGAACCAGTCCAATGATTCTGGCTGGTGTGAAGAATGGTGTATCCTGTGTCGTCCATGTTTCGAGGAGGGATTGGTGGGGATAGCAGTGTAGTAGGTCTTTCGCAGGATGGAGCGGGTGTTGGTTGCGGAGGACGGTACCGGACGAAGGACATTCGAGTTCGACGGTTTTTCTCTCAATGATCTTGAGCTTCCATCATGCTGTGCACTGCTGTAAATCGAATTGGACCGTCGATGAGTCGCCGAACGATGAGAAAGGCCGCGAGAGGGCGGAGGCGCTGCTTCGCCGAAGATGAAGAACTTGATGAAGGCAGCGATGAGAAGCACGACGGAGAGCTGTCCCAGCAGGAAGCCTTGTGTAAATGATAAACTACACCCACTTCATCAGCTATTCAGCAGCCCTATCAAATAAGGGACGGTGATCTTGACGTACGAGGACTGAGCCGGGATAGGCGGGTGGTCGTCTAGTTCAGTGTTGTCAGCCTTGGATCAAGCATCAACAACGGAATCGAATCAATCGCACTTAGCTGAGAAGTCATTTTCAGCTGCTGTCTATGTAAGTCAGGTGCCTTTCCGTGGCCCCATTGCTACAACCAGCGACACTGCAATTGAAGATTTCTTACGTGTTGGAAGATCAAGATCAAGGTCAAAAAATAATGACGAATGACAAAGGACCTTGTCCGCCTCGGCCAAGGCTACAAGGCGGAGCATCTGCTTATCACAATTGGACTCCATCAAAATGACCCATGAGCTCATGCATCGGCGTAAGGACACGTTGAGCTTTCGGAGTCATCTACTGTTCGATCACTAACAGTCTGTATTTTATTGCCAGCTGGCTGGTTTCACCTCGTCTGATAGTTATTGCATCTGTCTGCTCACGACTAATATGCTTGCGAACTGATTTTACTCGACCACACAGAACGGAAACATTTCTCTCCCAGAATGTACTATCCAGGCGTCATCTCGCTGCTACTATATCTTCTATGCTTTGCTGCCCCGGCGCTAGCATTCGGCAGATCTTCGGAATCGCCCCCAGGGAGAAATGCCATACTCCTCTCGCGAGTGCAGTCGTTGACACTCCGCGCCGATCGTCTCACATCCTCTCGCCGTGTTTCTCCGATTCCACAACTGAAATGCGTGGGACCCTCAAAGCGCATTTGTGACATGTACACAATAGACACTATGCGATGCACAAATGCTGGATACGAATACGAGGAAGAAGATGTCCAGTGGACTTGTACTGCACCACTTCCGGAGGAGTTCAAGTTGGGCGCAACAGATGTGGTCTGCGAGGGATACCGAAACGCTGATGACAAGTGGGTGTTGAAGGGCAGCTGTGGTGTCGAGTACCGGCTACTGTTAACGGAGCGCGGGGAGAGGCGATTTGGCAAGGTGCAAGAGGATGATCTGTGGTCCGGCCGGGGCGCGACAAAAGGATGGCGCCGAGAAATGGCCGCTCTAGGCGAGCTGATTTTCTTTGGGTTCATGGTTGCGGTTTTCGTTCTGATTGTATGGCCTATGCTTTGCGCCTGTTTAGGACGGGGAGGTCGCCGAAGAGGCCCCAATGTTGGACGAGGTTGGGGCGGAGGAGGTGATGACCATGGGCCTTACCCTGGACCCCCTCCTCCGTATAGCAGCTCTCCAAGTAGTAGTTCGTGTTCATCGCAGCCAGGCGCGCAGGGATGGAGACCGGGCTTTTGGACCGGTGCTGCGGGTGGTGCCGCAGCTGGCTACGAGATGGGCAGGAGAAGCAATCGGCATAGCTCTCCATGGGGAGACAGGCCGTCGTCTTCTAGGAGATGGGATGACCAAGAGACTTGGAGAGAAAACAGCCCACGGCCGCGTTCCCCTCCTCGGTTTTCAGCTACCACTGAAAGTACAGGGTTCGGCTCAACAAGACGAAGATAATGCTTAGAACCTCGGACTTCAGAATTGATTGATTCGCCCCTAATTCCGATAACTGTAGCGATCTACCTACGTAGACGCCGCATGATGAAGCTAGCATGTGTTGGACAACCTAGTTATGATATCACAAGCTCCCATGAAAGCGAGAAGCAACACCCACAAGAGCCACCCAGGTAGACCGCAGAAAAAACACCAGGCCGTGATCCCATTTCAAAGGCGAGTGTAACACAGTAAAACTCCTCAATGCCGACTCCGAACCACCAAATGCGAATAAATAATCAAGGAAAGTCGTCAATCGTGCCAACCACTTCTTCAGTTCCGCCACCCATAGCTCTCATCGCCTGTCTTTTGTTGTTGCGTTTGCCCTTTATGGGCATGTTATTGGCATTATCCAGCCCTGGCGCAGCACTGCCATCAGTCGCGCCGTCTGGATTGCGAAGCAAATCCTCCTGGGCCTGCTTTTCCTTTGCGTGTTGTTCCTCAATCCGTTTCTTCTCTTCATCCAATTCTTGCTGAACCACTTTGGGGTCATCATACACAGTGTTGGTCATTTCGGAATACGTCGTGATATCAATCGTTTCCCGTGGACCCAACAGTGTTTCCTTGATTCGTTCTGGGGCACGCCGCTCTTCGTTGTTGAATTTCAGCTTGATCTGACGTCTCGACCTTCCAGGGAACAGCTTGCTGATCATCATGAAATCGGTGCCGAACATTCGCAAGCCTCTGTAGAATAGATCCGTCATCTCTTCATCCCACGATTCTGTTTTGGACCGTTTTCCCCATGTGGCTTGGTTGATCTTCCGAGTAAGAGAGCTTTCCACCACATCCTCTAGCTCCCCTGCATTTCTCGCCGCATCTGCATGACGATCGACCTGGAGGGAAGCGGCATCAAGCACAATCTCTCCATTCACGATCCGCATTACAGGACCGGCCTGTGGCTTCTTGTCGACAACGATATCGAGTTCTGCCCCGGGGGATGTAGCATCCGTATTCAATTTGAGGGGGACTGGCGTTTGGCTCTCGTCCTCTTGTTGGGCTCGCTTACGTTCCTGCTCAGCGAGCTCCATGTTGCGCAACTCTGTTTCCCGCTTAGACATTTTCCCTGTTCGTAAATCTTTACACAATTCCGACATCTTGACAACTGCCGGAGCGATCTCGATGAGGTCCGCTCCTTCAGGAGTTGGCTCGCGCTTTTTGCGAGACCGTTGTTGTTTCCTCTTCACCTTGCCCGCGGCATCTTCGACATTGGAAATGCGGCTCGCCCTTCTGCTTCGCGATTTCGACGCTCTTCGAGTCTGGTCGGCGTTTGCTTGCGATTCAGCTCCGTCGGTAACTTCTGTAGTTTCTTCAACCGTCGGAGTTTGGGTAGATGGAGGAGTAATGACATGGGATGGTGAAAGAGCAGAACGTGTGGATGTTGTTGACGACTCTTGAGTGAGCTTTAAGCGCTTGGATGGGCGGATCTCTGGAGCGGTCTCAACAGGTGGAAGGGTATGAGAATTAGTCGAAAGTGTCGAGGCTTCATCGCGGCTCAGAAGGTCTTGGTGATCTTCGATACTTTGAGAAATTTCTCTTTGTTTCTCGGGTCCATTCGCGACGAGATTTGTGGGTAGGCGTTCGGTATTGGTATCATGATGAGCGAGAGATTGAGATGCTGCAGGAGCTTCTTCAACATTCACTCGCCGTGTGGGCACCGAGAAAGATGCCTTGCGCTTTGGAAGAGGAATGGGAATGGCTGTCACAGATTTGGATGGTACCGAATCGGGTCCCGGGGCACTCGATGACTCGGCGACGGGTAATTGAACATCAGCGGCGGATGGGACAGAAGGCTCTGAGACCGCAGCGGGAGGCGCGGGCTCAGCAGTAACTTTTTCTACCGCGGGTTGAGTGTTTTGAGTGGTAGATGTTTGTGAAGCGGCACTAGGTCTTCGCGGTGGTGCTGGGGTTGCCGAGGGAGCCGGAGGGGCGCGTCGGACAGGCGCCTTTGGAGCAAATTTCTTGCCCGACTTATCTGGAAGACGGAAGCGGTCAGAAGATGCAGCACGTTGTAAGGGCAGGATTCAACACTTACTGATGACAGAACTCGAAAAAGACTTCATCCTCACCACTCGTCATAGCTGGAGAGGAAAAGAGCCATCAAAGTCCAGACCAAGTAATAGAAATGATACACTAGATGGTTGGTCCAACGGATATACGTAGAGGGTGGCATGCAGAAGTCTAGATGCCGGTGTTCGTCTGAACTCTGGGGGGAAGTGGACTCGGTCACGTGGGAGGCGCTAGGCGACGCTAAACCTCCCAGGCCGAAAATCCTCCTGGCTTCCCAAGTCTTGCTTATCACAACCACCTTCACGGCTGCACCCTTCAACGTCACTCAGAATTTGTTGTCACCTACACGGACGGATACTGCTGCGGTTCTTGCTCCCGGCTGGTTGCTGTTCAGTGGTGACGGCCTTTATCGACTTATGTCTTTCTAGCCACTGATGCCGGCCGCCGAAGCATCTCCCGTCGCATCTTCCGAGTCCGGTATCGTCAAGATGGAAGACCGGAAGAGACCTGCTACTCATGATCACAATGATTCGGCTCCACCATTGAAGAAGCAAGCTACTTCTGTCAATGGTGGTAGTAGACCTCACCCAGATGCCGATATGCCTTGGAAAGACGACTTAGAGGTGAGCTGCCCACGGCCCGTTACTGGAGCTTCGGCCTGAAGCAGAAGGCTTTTTTTTTTTTTTTCTTTTCTTTTTTTCTCCACTTAAAATTCAGCTGAAGTTTGAAATGATTCCGATGCTGACTTACACTCCGTGGCAGCGATTTCAAAAAGATGCGATATGGCGGCAGATGCAAGAGTACAAACGCGAGAAGACGTCTCTGGAGACGAAGCTCAAGGAAATGTCGAAAGCTACGGCCTACCATAATGACCATTTACGTGTAATTGATGCCTGGTTCAATCAGGTAAGTATCTTCGCGCATCTTCCCTGCAGCGGCAGAGTCTTACTGCTCTTGCGATAGTTAATTGATGAGGTCAAAACTCTTATGGGCGCGTCGGAAGAAGACAAAGGTAGGCGGGCACTAACCTAGTTTGATCACCATTTTGAGATCGGCTCATTAATATCCTTCTAGACCGGCCTTCGTTTCGAAGCTCGTTGCTATTCGAAAATATGGAAGACTTTGAGAAGCATCTCAAATCCCGGTCAGATGATATACGTGCCATTATCACTCGGTTGCAATCCTTTTCCACAAAGGCCTCACCTGAGGTCACAGATTTGCAGTCCCAACTTGCGGTGAAATTGGCCGAAGAAAAAGGTACTATCGCCGAGCTTGAGAAAGCTTTGGCCGAGAAACAGCAGTTAGAAGAAAGCCTGGAGGCAGCGTCATTACGGTACATGGTGGCTGAGAAGAAGCTCGACCGCGCACGAAGCTTGACTGTCGCGAAATTAGAGAAGCAGTATCTCCTGGGTGCTCAGCGACCTGGCGGGGATAGCGCATCTGGAAATCGGGAAGAACAGTCACCCGTCAACGGTGTACCCTCGAGTGTCGAACGCAATTCCGAATTGGAGGAAGCGCATAAACAGCTTGTAGCTGTCTCGGAGAAGCAAAAGGAACAATTGCAAAAACTGGAAATTGAAAATGCGGGTCTGCTAAGCCAGATCACGGAATTGAATATCAAGGTAAGGCGCCGACCGTCAGCCGTGCAAATTGCCGCTGACTGAATGTTGTTGATCTAGCGCACAAAACCCACCGACGATGATTATGCGCACACGGACTTGTTCAAGCAGCTAAGATCCCAATACGACGACGTTGTAAAACGAATCAACCACCTGGAGGCGACAAACATACAACTACGTGAAGAGGCTGCAAAGTTACGATCTGAACGGACTGCATATCGCAATCAGGTGGATGAGGAAGCCCAGAACGTTATTGCCGAAAAGGAAGCGCAGTTGATGCGAGCAGAGACTGACTTGGCCCGAATTCGGAACGCCCGTGACGAGCTCTTGGCTGATCAGCAGATGCGCAAGGCTGCGCAAGAACAGGAGAAAATTGCTACAACTAAGGTCCAGGAGCTTGCGGATGCTGCACAGGCCCGGATTAATGCCCTAGAGTCTGAGGTAGAAAGGCTCCGCGTGCAGCTTGACAACACGAAAGCCTCGCATACGGAGAGCGATGATATTCCGTTCGAAGAACTTCGTGCGAAGTATCAGAATTTGGAGCGCCAGTATTCCATGCTCAATACTGAGTTAACGTCGATGCAGACCGCCTGCAAAAAGTATTCTTCATTGGCTTCGCAAAAGGTTGCAGATTTCAGCGCTTTAGAAGAAAAGGTCGCCCGGTTGACTGCTGAAAAGTCGAAAGCGGATCAAAAGTATTTCGCCGCAATGAAAAGCAAGGAAGCACGAGAGTTGGAAGTTCGAACTTTAAGAATGCAGAACTCGAAGAGCTCTGATATTGTCTCGCAATTAAAGGAATCGGAGGCAACCACTCGCTCTCTGTTAGCCAATATGGAGAAGCAGGCTAGCGAGACGAAGGAAGCATTGAATTCAATCATCAGCAAGCATCATGCGGCTCAACAGCAAATCGCGGAGAATAACATTGTTATCGATGGCCTCAAAGCCCAGGTCAATGAGCTCAAGTCCCTCTCGGCGTCGAAGGATTCGTCGTTGGCGAGTGCTTCAAGCGCTTGTCGTAAGGCCGAGACTGAGATTGAAAGCTTGAAAGTCACGCTTGCCGATACCAAAAAGAGTCTTGACAATTGGAAGAACAAGAGTTTGGGCAATTCGTCGTCCGAGTATGAGATGTTAAGGGTAAGTCTTTCCAGCGCATGCACACGGGGGACTGATACTAATTGATTGCCATTCCCAGAGTCTTGCCCTTTGTACTGTCTGCCGCAGGAATTTCAAGAATACTGCGATCAAGACATGTGGTCACGTCTTCTGCAAAGAATGCGTTGAAGAAAGACTTACTTCTCGGTCTCGAAAGTGTCCAAATTGCAATAGATCATTCGGAAATAACGAT